GCTGGTGAAGGGTCTGGAGAACAAGTCTTCTGAGGAGCGGCTGAGGGAACTGGGGTTGTTTAGCCTGGAGGAAAGGAGGCTGAGGGGAGACCTCATCGCTCTCTACAACTGCCTGAAAGGAGGTTGTAGCGAGGTGGGTGTTGGTCTCTTCTCCCAAGTAACTAGCGATAGGACGAGAGGAAATGGCCTCAAGTTGCACCAGGGGAGGTTTAGATTGGACATGAGGAAAAATTTCTTTACTGAAAGAGTGGTTAAACATTGGAACAGGCTGCCCAGGGAAGTGGTTGAGTCCCCATCCCTGGAGGTATTTAAAAGACGTGTAGATGAGGTGTTTAGGGTCATGGTTTAGTGGGCATGGTGGTGTTGGGTTGACAGTTGGACTCGATGATCTTAGAGGTCTTTTCCAACCTTAATGATTCTATGATTCTATTTCAGAGCATAGCCTGGACCCTGAGCAGCCCTTACAGCACATATGCAACTTTAGATGCAACTAGTTTTGTTAGAGACTAGTATATGTTGATATGAGCTCATATTCAGCAATCGTCATCACAGGGTTGTGAGACAACGTTCTTGAATCTTTCTTTCATGGTCAGAGCCAGACAGAGTGCTAGTGCAAAACAGTGAAGGAGACAGTACAGCCAGCCAGGTGGCCACTACTGCAACATACAGCCAAGATAGATGGACAGGGTAGCAAGAAGGTAGAGATCAGTCCCCCTGATACACCATAACCCCACCAGTCTCCAAATTCCTCTCCACTGCCAATTGACACCTTGTACCCGCTATTCTGCCACTGGAAAAACTCTTCTTGCAGAGAATGACAGAAGGGCAGCAATGCTGTCAGTATCCCATAGCTGTCTCTGGACTGTCACACAAAGCACTGAGCTATTTCCAAATACACAGCAGAAGCTAAGTGTATAAATCTGCTAAAAAGACGTGTTGGCATCATTCCATTTTTGATGCAAGTGAACAGACTGATAATTTCCTAATAGTGCCAAAGACCATCCCCTCCCCGCCCCCCCCTAATTTCAGTTTATCAGGCATTGGCTTTTACAATGGTGTGATATGCCTTCACGCTGATGGCTGAAGCTACTGTCAAAGACCTTCTAGTACAACACTTTGCTCCTTATATATAGAGAGGCTGAATAGGACCAAATATATTTCTATATTGGATGGCAGCACCCCAAGAAAATATTCCTGTGCCTTAAGAAGATAGGGAAAAAACCCCAAACTAATCCACACCTACTATTTTGGAGCTATGGTGTTAAATACACCCTGAGCTGCAGCAACAAATGGGCTTGTACATTTCTGGGATGAATAAATGTGCAGAAACTTCTGGAAATACAGGGCACGGTGGCCTGCTTAGAGTTTGGAACACAGGTAATTTTTCAGAGTGTTACAGAAAAAGGCATCTGACTCATCATTCAAGTCAGACAGCAAGCAAGGGACCAGGTGGGAGGCTAGTGAAATTATGTGCATTCAGAGGAAAGCGTGAAGAATGTGGAATAATTCTGTCTTCAAGGGCATCATGTGAAGATAGCAACATAATTATGTTCAAATACTTCAAAGTTTTCCTAAAGCAAGTAATTTCTTACAGCAGCTAGCAGTGTTTACTTGTTCAGCCTTGCACTAAACACACGAGGTGAAGCTTGCAAGTCTTTGAAGAACAACTGTACTGCTTTACATATTAATCAAGGCAATTAGGCCTGTGATGACTACCTGAGTGCTGCAACATTTAGTATCTTTTCGTGGAGAAGTTTACAGCTGTGCCCTGCATATGGTCGACTAACTGACCACCACAGGTTCCCTGTTCTCTACTAGAAACGTGATTACTTCTAATACTATCTCTTGAACTCCAAACCACGGCTTCTAGAAATAGATGTTTTAAAAGGATACTTTCAAGAAAGGAGGGTATGGAATATGCTTGTATGTATGGAGTACTACTTAGCCTATGTTCAGCCCTACTTGCCAGAAGATACAGACATGTAAACACTCATTCTTAAAATGGTCTTAGATTAAAGGGAGAGGACAGTAGCAGGAAGGATTATACCTTCCAAGACATTTATCCTTTTTGCTTTGAAAGCTTGCATTACCTTAGGTCATTTGTGATAACTGTTGTCATGACAAAAATATTCTAATAATTGCTCAAAAAAGTTAACTAAAACAAACCCCATAAGCAGAAAAAGTAACCTTCCTGCATCTTTCAAACTGTCACTCATTTAACTGCAAATTGCAGATCTGGCCCTCCCGTTAAAATAGGAATCTGGAAATGTTTGAAAGGAAAACGCCCAAACACCATCAGTAGTAGACAGGTTGAGAAAACACTACAAACAATGTTTTTATCTGTCTGTACATCATTCAATACATTATCAGTGGATGCCAGCATGACTGTCCATGTACCAGCATATCCTACTGTGGATAATAGGGACCACTGCCCAAACTGAAAATAGCTAAAAGAGGAAAAGAATTAAATGTCCCTATATGGAAACAAATGGTGACTTTTCACTGTATCAGCTAAGAACTGGTAGGGCAGCAGTACAGGGAAATTATTCAGGTTCTAAAAGAAACCTGCAAACAAGAACAAGGCTTGCACATGCACATTCATGAAGTATTACCACAAACACAGATGCAACAGCCAAAAAGCCAACTGTTACCTAAGCAACCACTTCCAGCTTGACTGTAAAAAGGAAAGGAAAAAAAAAGCAGAGCACTGTTGAGCACAGCACTAACAGAAAAGACACTCAGAGCATACAGCACAGCAGCTACCATCAATTCCTGTCTTTTCCTGCATTCACCATGTAACTACTTAATGGTTATTTCTGCAGAAAATAAATTTGTGAGAAGAGCACCTGACGCCATCAATTTTTCTTATTTAATGGAATCAGCCTGGAAAGCTTGAAAGCCTGCTAACCTCTTAGGCCAAGAACAGTAAAATAGAGAGATTAAAGACAATTAAAGTATGGGAAGGACTTCAGGTGTTTTACCTTTCCCTTCTTTTCCATAAGCAAGGGCTGGTGGAATAGTTAGCTTCCGCTTCTCTCCCACACACATGTCCTTCAAACCTTTGTCCCATCCTTTGATAGCTTCCCTTATGCCAAGTGTAAACCACATAGGTTGACCATTGTTATGCTTGTGACTGGAAAAGAATGGAATAAACCACTTAGTCTGTAGACAGCAAGTTCCATAAACATTCTGCACATGGAGCAGACGGAAGATGCTCACAGCATAGATATATGATTAAAAACACACCGCTATTTGGCACCTTGGCATTTCTTAAATGAAAGACCTAGACTTCTAAAGTCTTTAAAACTTATGCCTTGCATGACAAGGTTCCTTAAGAAGTGGAAAAAAATAAAACATCTCCTCCATGGTGCGTATATGACAACACTCAGCAACCTGGATCCCCACACCTTCACTTCCCTGATAACCTATTTCCACTTTGAAACTGATCAGACCAGAAAGGCATTTCTACTTAAAAAAAGTCTACATTCAAGGCCATGCATATTCTTTGGTAAATTGCAAATCAAGAACCAGCTTGGTCATGATTACAATGTACCTTATAAAATGCTTAGAAAAAAAATCAGCCACATCTCTTCCAAAAAAAGCCATTAGGAAAAAAAACAACTACACAACAGATAGTCTAGAAAAACAGAAAAAAATGCATGCAAAACATTCAAGTTTAAAATAGGCAGACAAGCCCCTTTTCCAATTTAACCAGGTGGTACACCCGGACTACTTTCACTCTACTGACAGACACAGAATTTAAAAGCTCGATTTACTAGTCGTGCAGGAAAGGTGCTTAAGAAGAAAACAGAGCACTTACAGAAGTTAGTCAGCAGCAAAAACTTAAGAGTGTCACTAGAACTCCTTTTAGAGAGGCAGGTTAACTACAAGAGAAAATTAGTGAGATTTTAGTTTAAATTGTCTGCAAGAGCATAAATATGCAAAACATTGTCTTTTTTTTTTTTTAAATATGTTCCACAAAAGTAGACTTCAGACATAGCCTACAGATACTTGAGCATTTTGCTGTCTCCCACTATTAGCACATCGTTGATGTTTTATAGGAAAGGCAACATTAGCAAGTCGTTGCAGGCTGTTAGCAGACTCCCTCCGAATTTCTGGCTCTTCCTCCTACTTGCATTACTGTGGCTCTGGTATGTTGATTTGTCTGGTCGGGGGCAGGTGAAGAATATGCCGTTTCAGTAATGAAAAGGTATCCTTGTGCTGCCAGTAGTGTAAGGATATATATAACGTGGTTTTTTTTTGAATTAGAGGCAGACTTACCCTAGAAGTTTGCTTTAGAAACCAGACAAATCCATGCATAGCAGAAGACTCATTAAACCGCTGAGATCATATACCAAAACCTGTGTCTGAATTGCAGAAGAGGATGCCTAACATCCCCATCTTTTAACAAAGACCACACGGCTCTACTTTCTACAGACTAACAAGAAAACAAAAGCTAAACAAGATTTATTTTATAGCAGCAATCTGGCAGAGGGAAAGGAGATAAGCTTACTGTTAGTGTTCGTCTTCAACAGCGTTGTGAGTCAGTGCTTCCTAAACTGTCGAAGTATAAAGGCAAACCAAACTTTCTGAAAATAGGTGGCGGTGGAAAGGGTCCCATACACAAATTTGTGCAGCGTTATTTAAGCTATTTTAATTCAGTAACAAATAAAATCTAGGGCACGCTATGAACATGCATGCATTGCTTTTGTTTCCTTGCACACTGGTAAACGCAAGTTTGGGGCGTTTTTGGAGGGAGGGGTAGTTGCAAAAATAAAATAAAAAGCCATCCGCCCTCAACAAAACACTCCTCAGAGAGCTATTTCGCAGATAGACTGCGGGCCACTGTAAGGGGTCCACATTTAGGAAATCACCTACATTAATATACATATATACAGATGTATTTCCCCGCGCAAGCTTAGCCACCAGCCTGCCCGAAGGCGCGCCGCCCGGGGCGAGCTACTTACGTGGAGTGAAACATGGAGCCGTCCCTCTCCAAGTAGCCCTCGTAGTGAACCAGCATCATGTCCCCCCACTTGGTCCTCCTGTGGCAGAGGAACGGCTTCTGCAGCACCTCCACCTTCACGTCAGCCGCGGGGATCAGCGC